GGGCTGGGAGCCCCCCGGCCCAAGCTGAGTAGGGGGTGGGTGCTGGGGGGGCGGGTGTGGTGTTTGCTTTTCTGCCCCTCCTCGTAGGGCAGCAGGTGTCCCCGCTCAGCATCCAGGGTTGGGGGGGTGGGCGCACAGTCAGGGGGCCCCTGGGCGAGCGATGAACTCCAGGTTGATGGGCTTGTTGGCCACCAGGACGATGCGGGACACAGATGTCACCTCCACGCCGCGGGGGTCCGGCCGCACCTCGAACGCCTGGATGATCTGCGGGGAAAAGGGGGGTGGCAGTGCCTCGGGGACTCCCTGGGGCCCCCACCCCAGCTTGTGGCGAGTTACCCAGGGTGGTGGGTGACTGCTCACCCTGGCAAGGGCCAGGTGCATCTCCAGCTCGGCGATGCGGCGGCCAACACAGGCACGGACCCCGTAGCCGAAGGGAATGGAGCTGAAGGGGTGGTGAGGGGAGCCGTGACCCCGGAGCCAGCGCTGGGGCAGGAACCGCTCGGGCTCGGGGATGTAGGTCTCATCATGGGACATCGCGTAGTGCGCCAGGACGAAGAGGGTCTGCGGGGCAAGAAGGAGGGGGTTAATTACCCCGACCCAGCCCCACACTGTGCGCAGCGGGGGTCCCCACGGCACAGCCCCCACTCACATTCTTGGGGAAGAAATAGTCTCCGATGACAATGTCCTTCTCATAGAAGACCCTGGCATTGGTGGGCACCACAGGGTAGACCCTAGGACATAAGGAGAGTTGGTGGGGGAGTAGGAGCCTCCTGTGGACCCCAGAAGGAGAGAGCCACAAGCAGGACAAGGGCGAGCATCTCCTGCTGCTCAGCAGCTCTGTTCCCCTCCCCAGGGAGTGGATGGATGGATGTGGCCCTGAGGGACTGAAATCCAGCCCTGCACCCTGCCCAGCTGGTGCATCCCCTGATGCGGGGGGAGCAGGGACTGCCACTGGAGAAGGGGCCAGTGACCAGGACCCTGGGGCAGGGGTAAGGCTGGGCTGTACCTCAGCGTCTCCTTGATAATGGCCCGAAGCATTGGCATCTTGGGGATATCCTCAGCACCAGGAAACCGGTCGGCAGGCACAACGGCTTTCAGCTCCTGGTACAGGGTCTCCTGGATGCCCGGGTCCCGGGAGAGGTGGTACAGGGCCCAACACAGCGTGTTGGAGGTCTGAGGGAGTGGAGCACCAAGCAGAGTGAGGGAGATGGGGCCAGTACCTGCGCAGCCTTGTGCCAGGCATGGCACCAGTACGGCACCAGACAGCCCCTCCTCTGGTGCGCAGGGAAGCCGGGGGTATGGGACAACGAACACGGGCAAAACTGAGGCAGGGAGCAGGGTAAGGAGCAGAGCAGAGGACAAGGTCTGTACTGACCGATCCCTGAGGGTTTGCCCCTGTGGGGCATCAGCCCCCCAGCCACCAGCCCAGAGCTCACAGGGGCTAGGGAGCGCAGCCAAGGGTGGCCCCCGGGATCCCCCCTGGAACGGAGCTCAGCAGGGATCCCCACGCAGCGGCCGCCCCGCTCTAACCGCGTCCCAACC